AGTATACAAGACGAGTTCGAATAATACGTCGGATGCCTCGGAGGTACTCCAACCCGTTCGTTCATTATTTTCGAGCACTCGGAGGTGCGTTCTTTTTTGACATCCGGGAGGGTTTAGATGCTCCTCGATTTGCTCGGACGTTTTCGACCGACGATTCAGGGCGCGTTTGGGTTCACGCTCGGTGCACTCAGAGCTTGCACTTTTGTCTCTTTTCTGTTATTTTTGAAGCTCCGACAACGCTTGATTGTGTTTGGTTTGACAAAGTTTGAGCGCTCAGAGCGAGCTCGATAAACTCCGAGTTTGTGGAGTGGGCAGCTGGAGCGTGCATGCGCAGATGTTTAGTCTGTCTCTATAACCTAACGATAGTTTTAGCTATTTTGTTTAAATGTTAACAATCAAATAGCTAGTAAATTCTGCACAATTGTTCACTTTTAATTAAATTTTCTCGATAATCCTCATCACTGGTATTATTGAACATATTTTTCCAAGAAAACTTGGCAGACTCGGAGTGTTTAGATCCGTTTCATTGTTTATGTAGCACGACATTTTTTGCAGAATACAAAAGAAAAAGGGGCTGTTTGAAAATTATCGATTAAAATTCAAAACAAACGAGAAAACTCTGGTGCAAATGCGGAATGCGGGCTCGGAATCCAAAAAATATATGCTTAGAAAAATAAACAATAATCAGCTGATCGCTCAACCCAGCATTTTTGCACAAGTTTATTTGGCTTGACACGGTGTACTCCCTGTGACGTCACGTTACTCCGTAATCGCTCTGCTCGCTCCACCGAGCGTCAACCCAAACACGCCCTCAGACGGATGAAAATATTTGACGTTTCATTCTCACAATTTACATTATTTCCCCGCCCGCAGCCACTTCCCGCGACCAGTCAAGTTAGGTGAGTCCAGTGGAAGTGGTTCGAACAAAACAGAACGTTTTAAGCCAGAGACACATCTATCATGCATTCTTCCGATCCGACTCCGATCAACAATTCAAGGTCCTTATTCTTGGAACAGAGGAGCAGCGGAACACTCGTTCTCCTTGGGAACGCTGTTTCCTGTTCCAAGAATAAGGACCCCGATTGTATGATCGGAGTCGGATCGGAAGAATGCATGATAGATGTGTCCCGGGCTTTAATCTGTTATAAATTTAATCCATTCTCAAAATAATTAAGGGAAATAGGGAAATGAATATGAAAAATTAACAATGGATGTGAAATAAAATACAAATTAAATATGTTTTTACAAAAATAGATTAGGATTATCGAAACATATGACCAAAATAAACATCAGCTTAAAAAGAGCGTTCGAATAAAACGGAGGAAATCGAGCACATCTGCACCCACGTGATCGAATATCCATCTCATCTGTGAGGTAATTATTCGAACTCGTCTAGAGTAGTGTGTATCCAAGGAGAATAAGGCCGGATGCATCCGTTTTCCGACGAAATATGTCCGAAAAATCTTCTATTTTGACTTATTTTTATACGATTATGTCAAAATAGAATGTTTTTCGGACATCTTTTGTCGGAAAAACGGATGCATGAAACTCCAGCTTAAATATTCTAAGAAGTGCTTATCGGCCTCGTTTTTGGTAATCGCCGCCATATTGATGTGTTACCATTTCCGACGTCATAACTAAGACGTCAGCTGTTTAAGGGCGGGTATTATAAAACTACTTTTAGAGTTAACTTAAAGTTAACTTTTGGAATAACATGTAATTCAAAAAGTTAACTTCAAGTTAACTGTCAAAGCAGTTTTATAATACCCACCCTAAACAGCCTATGTCAAGATATGACGTCAAGGCGACAAATAACATGTTGCCTACGTCACAACTGGTAATTTGGCGGGGGGGATTTGTTACACACAGCAGTAGTAGTGTGTATTGTCACGAAACGTCTCTGCTTCGCTATGTAGCTCGACTATTCACCCTGAAAAGCAGAACGGGAAGGGAGGAGTAACAGGGAAACACTAGAACAGTTTTATATAGCTAATATGTATTGTGATTTTACAGGACGGAGATTACGAAAGCATGGATATTTAATTGTTACCAAATCATCATCATCTTGGACCAGATAACGTCCCTTCGGGTGGTAAGGCTCAAAAGGGCGGACAGTCAACACGTCGGGTATACCCCGGCAATGCTAAACAACTGGGTCGTCAGAGAATATCTGCCCTGATAGAGATACGATAACGTATTAACTTTATCAGTTCAGATAGCTCCCCAACTTTGAGTCGTTTCTAAACACCTACTGATTGCAGCGAAGCGCTGAGACACGACTGATTTGCCATAGTGTGGCTAGTTACTTTTATATCCCATTTTTGCTGACTTTAATTAGGTTAATTAGTCTGGTTGTGTTTTCTTGCTTAGTTGCAGTTATTTGTTATAACCCTTGGTTCAGTGTATTGAATTTGGTTATAGCCCGTGGTCCCATGTAGGGTTGACAGTATCATCTTTGGTGTGTATCATCCTTGGTTTGCACCGACCATATTAGGGAGGTTTAACATTAACTATAGCCTAAAATGACATTTTTATATGTAAAAATATAATTTTAAGCTATGCTCTAATTTGTTTTCACGAATCACCAGTTTTATTTTTCTATAGAAGAATAACACTATTAAATGTTAATCTCAAATATATTAGATATTTGAGGGCGGGTATTATAAAACTACTTTGAGAGTTAACTTCTGATAATACATGTATTTCAAAAAGTTAACTTCAAGTTAACTCTCAAAGTAGTTTTATAATACCCGCCCTAAATGGTTTACTTCGAGCTTGAGTACTCAGGTGTTCCGGAGCTCTTCATAGGTGTGAAAGGAATACAACTATTGTTTGTGATGACACTCGGTATCGAATACGATAGCTCTAGACGTACCGTGTAAAGCCTAGTACTCATAACTGTGAAATTCGCACTCTTTTGACATTGCTTCGACAAATTGACGTTTTATGCGTGAATCAAACGTCAAATTGTCGAAGCAATGTCAAAAAAGTGCGAAATTCGCAGTTATGAGTACTAGGCTTAATACGTATCGAAAAATCGAAAAATAAAAGCGCTATTTTGACAATCCAATACGAATTTCGACTCGACTTGTAAGATAGATATCCGGCAGCTGTTGTTTCACTGGAACGCACCCTATTTACTTTAAGAGTCGTGTTTTTGATGCACCCATAAAATTGCTGGTGCTTGATAGGACACGAGAGAGGAAAAACGAACAATAGGTTCGTTCAGTGAGGTTTCATTAACCACGTTTTTTGATATTTTTATGGAGTATTACTCGCATATAGCACACAAAAAAAAATTCAGCGCAATTGGATAAATATTATGCGGCTTTGAATAATAAAACATTATGCCTCAGAAATTAATCGCTTAGAGATGGTATGACGTCATCTCTCGAGTCAAGACGGGCTAGAGGCCGTCACACGACCAACGTGAGAGATGCAGTGACGTCACTGCGTGTTTCAAAACTTTCAAATTTGGAGCTTTTTGATAATTTATTTAAATATGAACAAGGGCTCGGAAAATTATGAAATTTTGCACAACTGCTAAACTCAATACGCTCTTTTAGAATATGTAATAAAAAAAATATGCTGTACGAGCCTATTCAGGTGCGCGAAACTCTAATGCACTGGAACGCCTATAAACAGTCCGGGGCGCTCTAGAGCATCTCAGCAGTGCTTAAAAAGTGCGTCACTGGAAAGCGACTCGTTCTCGAACGCAGTCATCACTTGAGCACTCAAGATGGCATGGCGGCCACACATGGGCCAAAAAACACAAAAAAATATCTAGTTTATGCCCAGCTTTGCCAGACTCTAAATATGGAAGTGTGGTACACAATGCTAAAAACTGTCGTACAGGGACGTACGCGCCACAAATACTTGTGGTACACATTACTTTACATTTTTAGTAGGTACATATTTACTTGAAAAATATGATTTTTTTGGAGAGCGCAAAATGTTGAAAACTTGAAAATAGACCTTGCATTAAAAATTACAGCAACAGGAGTGTCCGGAAATCAAATAAAACTATTTATTAAATTTACTAAAGTCATCTCGATTAAAGTACTTTGTGGATAATAAGTCAAATGGGAAATAAATTCTTTTGTAACGTTGACAATAATTGCTAACTTAATATGAAAATTCCTGTCAAAAAAATTTCTATCGGAATAATCCTCGAACTTTGATAATGCTCAACTTTCTCAAGCTTATAAGGCAATTTTTCGCAAGGATAATTAAGCATAATCTGATTATGCTGGATTATTTGATGTTTCAATTGTGTCATACTCCCCTCTAACTCCCTCACCAACAGATTTTGGGCCTGCGAGTGACGTCACTATCAACAGATTATAATGATGACGTCACCCGCAGACCTCGATGGAATGGTCGCGATTCAGGATGTGCTAAGAGTTAATTTTTTTGGTCTGTTCTCTGTTCTTACAGTAGAAATTAGGTATTCTTGGTCCCCGACGGAGTAAGGGGAGTATGACACAATCGACATCACCTAATCCAGCATAATCGATTATGCTTGATTATTCTCGCGAAAAATTGCCTATAGACTGTATTCAAGCAACTCTGTTATAAATTTTTTTTCCCAATTTGGCCAGCACTCATAAGAAAAAAGGAGAATTTAGAAAGGTACATATTACCATAAAATATTACCCACTCAACCCAAGATTTCAAAGCTGTGGTACATTACCGTACTACCGTACGCATTGATTTTCTTGCAACGAACATGCCCCGAACTGTCGTACAAATACTACACCTGTCGTACGTCTGGCAACGCTGTTTATGCCCGATTTATTAGTTTAGGTACCTAGTTAACAAATATTTTATTAAATAATCAAAATTAAAGTTGCAAGCAAAACTTTAAGCAAAATAATTAAAAATACGCATAAAAACATATTCAAAACAAACTGGCTTGGCCGCCACGCCATATTGAATTTTCCTTTTTGACAGATGGATCGGATAAATGACAATAACCTCAAAATTCATAGTCGTCCGTCGTGTTGACATGGCATAAAAAAAGAAATTATTCTTTTATTTATTTAATATAAAACCAATTTTTTCCAAACAATAATGGGAATTCCAGGCTTCACAAAGTTCATAAATGACCGGGCCCAGCTATATTACGAAAACCACGATCTCACGGACTGTAATTTGATAATCGACGGCCATAGTATCTCCTGTCAACTTTACAACTGGAAACATTGGCAGTTTGATGCGAGATCCTTGAATTGCTATGGAGGTGATTACGATAAGTACGTCTATATCGTAAAGAACTTCTTCTGGATGCTCCGAGAAGTCAGAGTCAAGCCTATAGTGATCTTTGATGGAGGCTTTGAGCAACGAAAACTACCAACAATATTGAAGCGGATGCAGGACAAACTTAACATTGCTGAGCGTTTAACTCCCGAGTCTGAAACGCAAAATCCTTACGAAGTGGTATTTCCTTTGGGTTTACGTGAAGCTTTTAAGGATATTTTAAGAAATTTGGATGTAGAAATGGTAATGTGTGAATATGAAGGTGATCAGGAAATTGCCAGTATTGCAAAGACTTTAAACTGTCCTGTGTTAACTTTTGATAGTGACTATTATATTTTTGGAGCTCAATATATCCCTTTCAAAACCTTGGAGAGTAAAGTGTGCGCAGTGGACAATTGGCGTACAGGAACTTATAAATTTATATCATGTAAGTTATATAAAATTGAGAAATTCTTAGAAGATTTTCAGGGTTTAAAAGAAAACACCTTGCATTTATTGCCAGTACTATTAGGTAATGATTATATAGATCAAAGAATATTTAATGACTTTTTATTAATGATAAATATTGATGGAAATGTGAGATTACAAGATAAAATTAAACTTGTACTTGATTGGTTGAAAACACAAACCCCTGAAATGGCTATTAGAAGTATTTTGAAAACCTTTCAGAACAATAAGGAAAGATTGTTTATTTTAAATAAAATTGAAAAAATTGTCAGTGCTTATTATTTTAAAGAGAGTAAAATATTCAAGTATTTAGGAATTAAAGCCAAGGATAAGAAAAGCTATGAGGAAATTGATTTTGACTTGTTGAAACAAGAAGTTGAAAATTCTAATGAATCCGTTATTGAAGAAACTTGTGATAAAAATGCTACTAAAGATATTACAAATACTGAACTTGAAAATACAAATAATAAAGAATCTGCCGAAAACAGCCCTATGACCCATAGCATAAACTTAGAATATGGAAAAAATTGTAATTCTAACACAAATGAAGAAACCAAAAATATTAATTTGACTAGTGCTGAGGATGACAAAATAGTAGAAAGTATGGAAGTCTCAGGGGATGATGTAGAAGAATCTGCTGAAAACTGCCTTAAAAAAATTGAGATTGAAGAAAATAGTAATTCTCTTGCTGAAGTTGATATAAATGAGGAAACTGTAAATCCAAATTTGCATACCGATAAAACAAATAATGGGGGAGAAAGTATGCATGTTAAAAGTCATATTGATAATTCTCCTGTTGTTGATTATACTGAAATAGACAATTTTATTGAAATTGCACCAATATCACAAGTTGAAACTGACATCAATTATTGCCCTGACGGTGAAAATATTGAAATAAAAAACGGATACCTTTTAAAGGCTGATACAAATAGTTCTCCAATTGCAGAAAATACTGAGGCCGAGGCTCATTTCTATAATCCTCCTGTTGCTGAAAATATAGAAATAGAAAATTGTGCAATTCTAGGGTCTCAAACAAATTATTCTCCTAGTGCTGAAAATATTGAAATCAATGAATATAGTATTGAAATTGGTGAAACTTCACAGGTTGAAGATTATTCTGTTGTTGCTGCAGATACTAATGTAGAAAATGGGGACACTTCAAAGGTCGAAGCTGCTTTAAGTAATTCTTCAGCTGCTGAAAATATTGAAATAGAAAATGGAGAAATTTTAGATGCTGATACAATTGTTGACGCAAACAAAAATACAGAAAATAATAATAATCCTTCTGCTGCTAAAAATACTGAAATAGAAAATGGGGAAGTTTCACAAGCTGAAGCTGATTTAAATAATTTTCCCATTGCTGAAAATCTAGATGATGATGAGAAAGAAGCCAAATCATCTCCATTGCCATTAAACACATTTAATTTCGAAGAAACTCATCTAGAAAAGTCCAGTGCATCTAAAAACCTAATTCCAAAAATATTTAAAAAGAACTTCCTAAAATGCCTCTATCCATCATCTTTCATGGATATTTTAACTCAAAACAAATACTATTGCATACCTCAAGTGGAGAATTATTTAGAAGAAAATTCTCATAAGTTTTCTTTTGATATTTTACGAGCCATTCACAAAATTTTGACAAACAGTGATGAACAATTTACAATAGTGGGACGAGGTGAAGGATCTACAGTTGAGCATTTTCCACAAGAAAAATGTAATATCAAAGTGCCTGATCTAATCGAAATTGAAGAATTAACCTTACAAGAAAGAAGAACTTTTTTTTTTCAAATATTAAACCTTGATAATAATTTTGTAAGTTTACTAGACCATTTTCCCACTGAATGGCACCCATTGATAATATCCTTAAAGTTTGCTTCTACAAAAACCACATTTCAAACCCCATTAATTTATTCTATAATTTTAGGTTTTATTATTCTGAATTACATTGACCCCAAAATTGGATTTTATAGATCAATCGATCGATACAAACAGAAATATTATGCATTTATGCAAAGTTTACCCCCTATAAATGAGCATGTGCCTTTTAGGGCTGACAGAAATTGTTTTTACTACTTCCCCAGGAAAGATTGTACAATTTTTATGCAAAAAATCATTTATTTGTTTACAGCGAACCCTCACGACGAATTTGATAGACATTTATTGCATCAAATGTCACAAATTCAAAGTGTCTTATTGCACATTAAATATTTGAATACTTTATTAAAGAATCCTTACACGAATTTAATTATACATCAAATATTTAATGCAACGTTTATTTATAATTTGACTAAAGTTTTTAGAGAAAAATCCTTGGAGTTAGAAAATAATTATTTGAATGTGTTTTTCAAAGATTGTCCCAGTATTTTGGCAGGTTTGAAGTATGTTTTAAATATGTTGAGTAAGCAATTATTGATGTTGTAATAATTATTGTTGAGGTTGTTTCAGTAAAAATCACTTTTGTTGAAACAACATTTTTCTTAGATCTAGGTGTTACCTAAATAGACGGAAAATGCTTCTTTGCTGGTCGATAAGTAAAATAGTTTGAGACGCGTAGCATCGAAATAAACCAGACCTCAAGACAGCACCGAAATTTTCCGTCAAGATTTGCATAAAACTTTATTTTCAATCATGAATTTCTGAAACAAATAAGTGTATGAAACTAGGTATGAAATCCTTCAAATTGGCCAGTGTCATCAATTTCAACATCTAAACCGAGATCTAAACATTCACAGATAGTAAGTAGTGCAGGTACTTAATAGTTATGAATGGCAGCCATTTAGGGAAATGGGGACTAAACAGTTGTTATTTTCCCAAGCGCGTAAAGGTTTTTTTTTGAAAACATCTTTATTTATCAATAATCATACTAATACATAAACGTCTTGTTCTCTAATCAGTACCTAAAGCTTCAAGCTTCAAGAAGATATAAGTACACTATGGGCCAAATTTATTTGGAACCCAATTTGGCTCTGAATAACTTTTTTTTTATTTGGCGGATTTTTATGAAATTTTGTGTCAATATTAGGGGGGCCTTTCCTCAATTGTAGAAAAAATATCTAATCAAAATGTACAGGGGGAGCCAAGTAAGAAGCAGTATTTTTATTCTTCGCCATTGGGGCTGTTGCAAATATAAATTTTTTACTAAAACTACATAAATTATTTGGAAATATTAAGAAATTATCAAAAAAAGCCTATGAAAAAATGTTAAACTTAACTCCTTGACATACTTGAGTACCTATATACACAGATTTTAAATCTTTTTTACAGGATTTTGTAGGATTTTGAGGAATTTGCAAAAAAGGATTTCAAAAGATTTTTTAGGTGATTTTGGAGCATTTTAGGGAAGTTAGAAGGGTTTTTAGAGATTTTAACAAATTTTTGGGGATCTCAAAGGATATTTAAAAATGTTAAAGGATTTTTTTTATTAGGAATTTTTTAGGATTTTGTCGGATTTTTTTTTGTTCTAATAAGATTTTGTTAGATTTTTAAAGATTTTCAGGGTTTTTAAGTAGATCTTACGAGTATTTCTGGGATTTTGACCAGCTTGTATACAAACATAAAATGTGTACATAATTAAATCTTTATTGATTTTGTACGATTTTGGGGATTTTGAAAATCTTCACGTGATTCTACAGGATTTTAAAAGATTTTAGGTGATTTTGGATTATTTTAGGGAATTTATAAAGGGTTTTTATGGAGTTTTTTTTTTTTTTAATTTAGAGGAGCCTTAATGATGAGTATTTTTTGAACTGACATTTCTTCATAGAAGACTATCATTTTGAGAAATACTTATTGTTGAAGCTCCCCTAAAATAGTTGGTGGAAACGGCTATTAGAGATCCTGAAGGATTTTTAGAAATTTTAATGGATTTTTGAAGATTCCAAAAGATTTTTGGAGGATTTTTTTTTTAGGAATACATATTAATGATTTCATAAGATTTTGCCAGATTTTTTTTTGTTCTAATAAAATTTTGTGTAATTTTGACAATTTTGTGAAATTTTATGCGATTTCAAGTGATTTTTAAGGGATTTTGTGAAGTTTTGTTAAATTTTTAAAGATTTTCAGGGATTTTAAATATATCTTACAAGCAAAGGGCACTCCACCTAGGAATTCTTTGCCAAAAATGTGGGGAATTTAGAGGAATTTGTGGGAAATTTAGAGGAATTTGTGAGAAATATGAAGGAACTCGTCCAAATTTATGAGAATTTGGGGAATTTATAGGGAATTTGGAAGAATTTATAGGGAATTTGGGAGAATTTCTGAGGAATTTATAAGAAATTTGAAGGAAATTGTCAAATTTAAAAAATTCAAAAGAATAATGAATACAGTTTTTCTCGCAGTTTTTGTACCTAGGCTGATTTCCAAGATTTTTCATGTTGTTATTTTCCACTGACAAAATTTGAAATTTTGGGAAAATGAGCTTCTCACCTTCCTCTCTACATGCAAAAAGTTTGAAAATTTTCCCTTCACTAGTTTTCCAGGAAAACTTTGAAATGTGTGAGACTGTATTTTCAACTTATTCAGTTTTTGTAGGTTGATTTCCAAGATTTTTCATGTCGCTTTTTTCTAGGAAAAATTTGAAATTTTGGGAAAAGGAGCTTCTTACCTTCCTCTTTACATGCAAAAAGTTTCAAATTTTCCCTTCCACTTTTTTCAAGAAAACTTTGAAATAAGTGAAACTGTATTTTCAATTAATTCAGTTATTGTAGGTTGATTTTCAAGATTCCTCATGTTGTAATTTTCTACTGGAAAAATTTGAAATCCTGGGAAAATGAGCTTCTCACCTTCCTCTTTACATGTAAAAAGTTTTAAAATTTTCTCTTCTCTAGTTTTCCAGGAAATCTTTGAAATGTGTGAAACTGTATTTTAAATTAATTCAGTTATTGTAGGTTGATTTCTAAGATTTTTCATGTTGCTGTTTTCCACTCGAAAAATTTGAAATTTTGGAAAAATGAGCTTCTTACCTTCTTCTTTACATGCAAAAAGTTTCAAAATCTTTCTTTTACTAGTTTTCCAGAAAAACTTTGAAATGTGTCAGACTGTATTTTCAACTAATTCAGTTTTTGTTGGTTGATTTCCAATATTTTTCATGTTGTTATTTTTCACTGGAAAAATTTGAAACTTTGGTCATTTTCCCAAAGTTCTTCTCACCTTCCTCTTTATATGCAAAAAATTTCAAAATTTTCCCTTCATTAGTTTTCCAGGAAAACTTTGAAATATGTGGGACTGTATTTTCAATAAATTTAGTTATTGTAGCTTGATTTTCAAGATTCCTAATGTTGTAATTTTCTACTGAAAAAATTTGAAATTCTGGGAAAATGAGCTTCTCACCTTCCTCTTCACATGCAAAAAGTTTCAAAATTTTCCCTTCTCTAGTTTTCCAGGAAAACTTTGAAATGTGTGAGACTGTATTTTCAACTTATTCAGTTTTTTTAGGTTGATTTCCAAGATTTTTCATGTTGCTGTTTTCCACTGGAAAAATTTGAAATTTTGGGAAAATGATCTTCTCACCTTCCTCTTTACATGCAAAAAGTTTCAAAATTTTCCCTTCACTAGTTTTCCAGGAAATCTTTGAAATAAGTGAGACTGTATTTTCAATTAATTCAGTTATTGTAGGTTGATTTTCAAGATTCCTCATATAATTTTCTACTGGAAAAATTTGAAATTCTGGGAAAATGAGTTTCTCACCTTCCTCTCTACATGCACAAAGTTTCAAAATTTTCTCTTCTCTAGTTTTCCAGGAAAACTTTAAAATGTGTGAGACTGCATTTTCAACTAATTCAGTTTTTGTAGGATGATTTCCAAGATTTCTCATGTTGCTGTTTTCCACTGGAAAAATTTGAAATTTTGGAAAAATGAGCTACTCAGCTTCCTCTTTACATGCAAAAAGTTTCAAATTTTCCTTTTCACTTTTTTTAGGAAAACTTTGAAATAAGTGAGACTGTATTTTCAATTAATTCAGTTATTGTAGGTTGATTTCCAAGATTCCTCATGTTGTAATTTTCTACTGGAAAAATTTGAAATGCTGGGAAAATGAGCTTCTCACTTTCCTCTTTACATGTAAAAAGTTTCAAAATTTTCCCTTCTCTAGTTTTCCAGGAAAACTTTGAAATGTGTGAGACTGTATTTTCAACTTATGCAGTTTTTTTAGGTTGATTTCCAAGATTTTTCATGTTGCTGTTTTCCACTGGAAAAATTTGAAATTTTGGGAAAATGATCTTCTCACCTTCCTCTTTACATGCAAAAAGTTTCAAAATTTTCCCTTCACTAGTTTTCCAGGAAATCTTTGAAATAAGTGAGACTGTATTTTCAATTAATTCAGTTATTGTAGGTTGATTGCCAAGATTCCTCATGTTGTAATTTTCTACTGGAAAAATTTGAAATGCTGGGAAAATGAGCTTCTCACTTTCCTCTTTACATGTAAAAAGTTTCAAAATTTTCCCTTCTCTAGTTTTCCAGGAAATCTTTGAAATAAGTGAGACTGTATTTTCAATTAATTCAGTTATTGTAGGTTGATTTTCAAGATTCCTCATATAATTTTCTACTGGAAAAATTTGAAATTCTGGGAAAATGAGCTTCTCACCTTCTTCTCTACATGCACAAAGTTTCAAAATTTTCCCTTCACTAGTTTTCCAGGAAAACTTTGAAATTTGTGAGACTGCATTTTCAACTAATTTAGTTTTTGTAGGTTGATTTCCAAGATTTTTCATGTTGCTGTTTTCCACTGGAAAAATTTGAAATTTTGGGAAAATGATCTTCTCACCTTCCTCTTTACATGCAAAAAGTTTCAAAATTTTCCCTTCACTAGTTTTCCAGGAAATCTTTGAAATAAGTGAGACTGTATTTTCAATTAATTCAGTTATTGTAGGTTGATTTCCAAGATTCCTCATGTTGTAATTTTCTACTGGAAAAATTTGAAATGCTGGGAAAATGAGCTTCTCACTTTCCTCTTTACATGCAAAAAGTTTCAAAATTTTCCCTTCACTAGTTTTCCAGGAAATCTTTGAAATATGTGAGACTGTATTTTCAATTAATTCAGTTATTGTAGGTTGGTTTTCAAGATTCCTCATGTAATTTTCTACTGGAAAAATTTGAAATTCTGGGAAAATGAGCTTCTCACCTTCCTCTCTACATGCACAAAGTTTCAAAATTTTCCCTTCACCAGTTTTCCAGGAAAACTTTAAAATGTGTGAGACTGCATTTTCAACTAATTCAGTTTTTGTAGGATGATTTCCAAGATTTCTCATGTTGCTGTTTTCCACTGGAAAAATTTGAAATTTTGGAAAAATGAGCTACTCAGCTTCCTCTTTACATGCAAAAAGTTTCAAATTTTCCTTTTCACTTTTTTTAGGAAAACTTTGAAATAAGTGAGACTGTATTTTCAATTAATTCAGTTATTGTAGGTTGATTTCCAAGATTCCTCATGTTGTAATTTTCTACTGGAAAAATTTGAAATGCTGGGAAAATGAGCTTCTCACTTTCCTCTTTACATGTAAAAAG